TATGTATAAAATATAAATAAAACAACGTTCTTACAAAATAAAGTATCAGGCTTTTATGTTTTATTTTCAAACTAGCCAGACTATCTTATCAACAACACTTGACAGAGAAACAAAGTCCTGAAGAGCCAGGTCTGTCACAGTAAAAGCAAAAGACAGTCTGCTCAGCCACTGACTTTACTAGAGGAAGAGCCCCCAGAATTTTTCTCCTTTAGAACTGATAGCCAAGAGCCCTGTCCTGCTAGTGCCTGCAATGAGGAAAGTAACTTTTCCATTCTGAAGCATCCACTAGAGAACACCTGCAAAGCGAGACCCAGAGCCTGAATGCTGTTCAAGCCTCTACTTACCAGTTTGATAAGATGTGAGAGAAACAGGAATTAAGGATTCTATTTCTTCCTCCATTGGGATTTTTAGAAATTAGGGTAGCTTCAGAAATTTGCAAAGAACTATCTGATAGATGGTAAGAACAATCCAATAAAGGTAAAAAACCTTAACCTTTTCAGTTCCATGACAGTATGCAGAGTTCTGATTAGACGCTTCCACTAGAACTCGTATCTGCAGTGCCAGAACATAACAGAGTGATGTAATCAATACCATTTTACATGTGTACACCTGTTTTAGGATGTACAAAATGCTTTACCTTCTGCCTATGATCTTACAACAACTTTAAGAGGTAGACACAGTGGGTATTATTATATCTGCATTTCAGATGGAAAAACTGAGGTTTAGAAAGATGATTGATTAGACTTATATACAGTAAAAGTACTGTGACCAGGAGTCAGAAGATTTGGGTTTGCTTCCTGGTTCTACTCAATACCTTTGCATAAGCACTTTGCAACCTTTTAAGTATCATACACATGCTAACAGTTGTTGTTAGTGCGGTTAACTGTTGTTGAAAGCATTCTGTAAATTGCAAAATCTCAGGTTAATGGATTATTAACAACTCCATGACTTCTAAGCCAATGCTCTTTTCAGTACACGAAGCTGTCAACTGTCACAGAGAAATTACACCTATTGATAAAGCACTGTGAGCTGAGGATTGCTAAAGGGGTGTTGCTCATCACCGTCTGCAAAATTGTCCAATAGGCCCAGCCACACCTGGGATGGGCCACATATCTAAGATTGTTCAGCCAGCTCTAACCAGGCTGCAGGCTTCCAGGGATCTAATGTACAAAAGAAAGAACACAGAGAACACAGATCCTACCTCCTAGCAAATAGTTCATAGTTGAGTACCTCATTGCCCATGTACGTCTTTAGCTGCTCAGAATGCTTAGTTGTTGCCACATGCATTCTCTTTTTCAATTAGTTACCTAGCTTGCTCACTTAGGGAAGAGGATACCTGAAGTTCTGCTAAGCAGAGATACTAAACTAGGTTTTCCAATTCTTCCAGGCCTCAGCTCCCAAGTAATTGTCAATCCATAGCTCCTCTGGCTTTCCTTTGCTGTGTCCAGCTTGAGCACTATCAGGCTCTGCTAATCTTAGCGCTGCCCTGTGGCCAGCACTGCCCTTCTCACACTGCAGTTAAGTGCTCTCTGCCTCTGTCAGCACCATCTCCTCCCTGAAAAAGCAACCTTTCCTGCTGGCCAAAACACTTGGTTACTTTCAACTGGGACTCTGCAATTTGAATCTTTAGCTCTATTTGACATTCCAAGCTCAATTTGGCATCTTTTGGCCATTTAAATTAGGTTTTGATCTTGCATTCCTCTCTCCTAAGTATGGACTTTCTGGCAGAGGAACTGGTAATGGAGAATACAGTTTAATCCTATCCCAAGCCTAAGCAAACAACAACAACAACAACAATAAATAGGGATTCACTCTGTAAACTGTAAAGTCCTACGTTAACAGATTATTAACATTGGCAGACTCTTAGGCTAAGTTCTTTTCATTACACTAAGCTAGAAACATATTTCCCTCCAAAGGTTTCCTCCACCCTCATCTTACTCCATACTTCCTAGAAATACATTCACTCAGACTTTCTCCCCCTCTCTGCTTTTGGATTTTGCTGAAGAATACCTCTCTTGGTCAGAAGCTGAACATCGGCTACAATTCCCAGGAGAAACCATTCTACAACCTTAGCTTTATTAAGGGGGAAAAACGATCTTGATATTTTCATTGCCGTTTTGTCCAGTATTAGCATACAACTTGAGCTTCCATTTCTGAAAACCCATGCTAGTTCCACAGCTTCACATACCCCCCAGGCTCCCATGCCTCCTGATATAGAATCTTAGACAGGATTCTAACTAACCAGCTTATCACAATGTATAGAAACACATGACCTGTTGAGAAGAATGAATATACCAATGAATTGCTAAACACCTCCAAGCATGCACTTAATTTCTTTCCAGCAAATCAACAGTCCCTTATATAGTATATAAAGTTATGTTGTACTGTCCAAGACAGTAGCCACTAGCCACATATGGCTATTTAAATTTAAATTAATTAAAATTAGGGGTGCCTGGGTGGCTCAGTCAGTCAAGCGTCCGGCTTCGGCTCAGGTCATGATCTTGTGGTTCGTGGGTTTGAGCCCCGTGTTGGGCTCTGTGCTGACAGCCAGCTCAGAGCCTGGAGCCTGTTTCAGATTCTGTATCTCCCTCTCTCTCTGACCCTCCCCTGCTCATGCTGTCTCTCTCAGAAATAAATAAAACATTAAAAAATTTTTTTAAAGAAATAAATTTAAATTAATTAAAATTAAATAAAATCTAAAATCCACTTCCTCAGTTGCTCAATAGCCATGTGTGGCTCCTGACCATTCCAATGGACAGCACAGATACAGAGCACTTCTATCATCACACAAAGTACACTGGACAGCACTTAACAGATGCTGCTATGAATAATACTATTCTGAAAATTGGTGACTAAGCACAGAACACAGGTAATAAGTAACCAGTGCTCCCTACGAGTCTACTAAAATGACTTGTCTAGGAAATGAACTCCATATTTTTCCACTACTTGGATCATATTTGAAAGCACATTTTAGCTTTAATGGATAATTTGGTTCCTTACCAAACATTTCTTTTTCTTACTGGCCCCTGCACATGAACTTGTTGTTACTATGGGGCTATTCAGAAGGACTGAGCTGCTGCTGCTGTGTTTTTTCTTTAAAAACAAAAAAAACTGAGGTTAATAATTTGTATCCTCCATGTAACAGAACAAGTTTGATGATATTCAAGTAAATTGTGGGTCCTCAGAGCCACTACCTCTTGTCAAGGTTACTTCCTAACAGCAGTCAATCCTTTTCACAGTCTTCTCCCTTCATAACCACTGATTTTACTCCAATAACACAGCGGCAGGCACAGTGAAGATCAGGACTTTTCTTATAATAGTTTTCAGGCTCTACGCAGAGGATATCTAGGGGCACCTGGGTGGCTCAGTTGGGTGAGTGTCCAACTTCGGCTCAGGTCATGATCTCACAGTTCGTGGGTTCAAGCCCAGCGACTGGCTCTGCACTGAAAGCTCAGAGCCCGAAGCCTGCTTTAGATTTGGTGTCTCCCTCTCTTTCTCTGCCCCTTCCTCGCTTGTGCACACATGCTCTCTCTCTTTCCTCCAAATAAATAAACAGACATTCAAAAAAAAAGAAAAAGAAAAAGAAGGATCTCTAAAAGGTAACTTCCTTCAAGGAATGATCAGGGACAACGTCACCCACCTTTTCCTGGCCTGGTCCATTTGGGCCTTCCAACTCAAGAAAGCTTCCCCTTTTCACCTAACTGATATCCACACTAACAGCCCCATTTGGAGAAAGATCAGCTGACTGGAGCAGCACACTCCACATAGGAAGACAGGAAGGAAAGTGAGGTCATTAGGCTCAAGCCTGGGGGAGGGGACTCACTTCTGGTAAAATGCTCCTTCCAAAAGCAGCGTTGAATAGCAAAGAGTTACCACAAGGCAGAACCCACACAATTACACAGAATAATGTATGAAAACAGTACAAGAATAGGCCCTGTTCCCCCAGTTCTGTAAGGTCACCATAAAAATAAACCAGATTTCTAAGCTAATTCTTCTGTTATACCATGAAACAAAAGGACTCAGGATCTCTAGTTTTCCTAAAGGCAGGAAATACTCTGGGAGACTATATGTAGCAGACCTTAGAAAAATTTCTAGGGCCTTACCCTTTCTCTAGGAACCAAGGATTCTTCTAAAGAATCCTTGGTAAGTGAGGTGCAAATGAGGAAAGAGAAGGAAGGTTAGCTGATAAAGAAGAGAACCACAAGGGAGAATGGCATGAACAAATTTTCATCAAATAAACCAACAAAGCCATATGACATAGCACTAGATACCCACTAAGGAGGAAAGCTCCCCACCATCCACTCCTCTGTGAAGGCCCAAGTACCCAGGAAACAGGGAGTTTGTAAATGACACTGGAGATGGGAAGAAGGTTCTCAACAGTGCACAGGTTTAAATGTTAACAAAAATAGTAACTCCTTTCCTAAAGAAGCACACAACTCTCAGTAAACTAGGCACTCTCAACTATCTGAGTTAATATAAGGGGAAACAACTGTAAACAACAATAATAAAACCATTATTGTTATGATTTATGATTATAAAATAAAATCTCATTGCTACCTTTAGAATATATTATGTGACATTTTATAAATTTCCCTTCCCAATTATATTTTACATAAGCTAAAACTAAAATTGACTAATTTTTCCTGAGTATACACTGTAAGGTAGCTAAAAACCTGAGAGATTATAAATCTGGATTAAACATCTGCCAGATAATCAGTAAAGGAAAAGTTACATGAATACTGTCTCCATAATACGTAAAGGAATTATTCTTACTCTCCACAGATACAGCATTGTACACAAGGTCAGATGCACAAGGCTTTGGGGATCCAGATCAGGACCCTCACCTGGCTGGTATATACCACTCACCATTTAACAGACTCTGAAAGAAAGGGGACAACAGCATTCTAACCTGGTATTAGAGTATCTTTGCTTCTCAAATATTTCCCATTTGAAAACCCCTTCCCAGCAACTATAGTTGGGTCTGCCATGGCCACACACACCTGCCTATTTGGGTGACCGGTGTCTTTGCTCTTCATGGTCTCATATCCAGGCACCCGGGGACGTCGGCTCATCTGGAGGGCCACCAGATCCTTCATGATTGAGTTCAAAGCCTCCTGTTCATCTGCAATCAAAGAGAGCACATGGGCTAAGATACTTTAAAATGGACATCAGGTAAGTGCTGAATCACCAAATCGTACACCTGAAACTAGTATTACACTGTATGGTAACTAACTGGAATTTAAATACTTAAAAAAGAATACAGCCCAGCAAATTACTACCACAAATTGTAAGTTCTGCCCAGGTAAAATGACATATCCTATAACTATAATCACATGAATTTGAGGTCTCTGAAAAGTAGATAACTGAAATCAGACTCTGGCGATTTGAATTTTAATGGAATCTTAACAAATCTCCAATCAGATTTCCGGCAGCAATATTTACCAATTTACTGGCGGCAAGGGAGGTGCTCAAACATGGTAATTCTTCCACTGCCAGAGAAACTCAATCAGGAAAAACAGATGAAAAGTTGGAGTGAACAACAACCAGCACAGTGTAGTAAGGTACTGAGTGAACAGATGAATTCATGGAGAGCTGGTTATGGGACAGAGTCACATACAGACTTATTCTTAAAGCATCTCAGGTAGAAGAGAACATTTAAAAAATATTTTTTTTAAAGTTTATTTATTTTGAGAGAGAGAGAGAGAGAGAGAGAGAGAGAGAGAGAGAGAGAGAAAGACCGCACATGCAAGCAGGGGAGGAGCAGAGAGGAGGGAGACAGAATCCTAAACAGGCTCCTCCTGGTCCACAGAGCTGGGTGTGGGGCTCAAACTCTGAACCCTGAGATCTTGACCTGAGCTGAAACCAAGAATATGAATGAGCCACCCAGGCACCCCTTGAAGAACACATTTTAAAAGGTACCAAACAAGGACCTCAGGTAGCTGTTTTGAACAGAAGTTGTTTTACATGCCTAACCTTTGAGTGCCCCCCCCCCAACTCTTTACAAGTTTATAGGCCTTCTGCTTCCCACAGGGAAGTGAAAAGGCATTTCTATTGTTTTTCTTCCCTAACTGACCAAGCAGTGCATTGTCTCTGCCTTACTGGCATTACTTTTAATCCCCTTTTCTTAATATAGCATAGAGTACTGGAATTCTTATGCATTGAAGACAACTGGACAAAACCCAGAATCCAAACCAGCCCTATTCCATGTTTTACAAAATTCTCCCAGGTCCTTCAAGAGATCTTTGTCTACTCTAATAGCATTTGGGAGTTGAAAATAAATCTTGGATCTGGAAAGGAACATGAAAAATGAGTTGTCACACTTGTTTTGGTGACAACTGAGTCACCTGAGGACCAGAAACACACCTTAAAAGAAGTAGAAAAGACTCCACCAGAGAGCACCTATCTTTTGTCTTTTATCATCATGCCTTGGAAATACTCTAATACCTTGTGGAAAGGAAAGAACAGCATGAAGTATAAGAAGTAAATCTGTGCTGTTTGCCTCTCCCCTTTTTCTAGATCAAATCTGCTCAGGTACCCTACCTGCCCTCTGAGAAAGTGCAGGAAAGGCAGGAGAAAGCTGCCCATTGTGGAGGTTTCTTCTGGCTGGTCACAGAAGTAAAATTAGACTAAAAATGTGTAGGAAAAACACGAGTAGAGTAGCTTCCCATCTAATTCCATTTCAAAATACACACCAAAACCAACAGATGTATGAGAGTGGACGTAAAACCAAAAGGATAAATAAATGGAATAATGAATGAAAAGGAAGTGGGTTATCTACAAAAAGACATTTGTCAAAATTAAAACACATACATCCCATCAATTATTTTATAGTTTCTAGTGATTTCCCTATAGGCTCCTTAAAGAAAGAGACTTGCGTATTTTGTTTTGTTTCTTTAACTTCCCAACCAAGGTTTAAAGGATAAATAAATGGAATAATGTTAGAGCATAACATCTAAGCTTGGAAGACTGGCTTATATATACAATATACATAAGCTTATATATTACATATATTTAACATGTGTGTATACAATGTTTGGGCCAACTGTAACAGTAAATTGGGATCACTGTATGGAGGAACATGATTAGGAATGTGTTTTCTGAGGCACATCCATGATATTCCTAACAGCAGAATACACACAAGTTTTCATTATCAAGGTAACCACTCTGAGAACTAGTAACTTCTCTTGTCTCAACTCAGATACTGAACCAAGATGGATGTGAATACACACAGAGACACACATCACACATGCTTTTCAAGTCAAATCCACATCAAGTAGGACTACAGAAAGCGTTTCTAATTCTGTGTAAGATGATGCTATTATAAGAGCTGGTTTATCAGGTTGACAAATTCTGTTTCCAGGAAGCTAACCAGTTCCTGGCATTACTTCATGGATAAATTAGTAGTTCCAGTGCTGAGAACACACTAGAGGAATGGTTTGGCACTATCTCCTGAAACCCGGGATAACTGACACAAGTGACACAGGATAACAGAATCTGATTTTCTGTCAAAGTCGAAGACATTGCTAGAGGCAGACAGGTTCTTAAACTGATACTTCAAACTGAGGACGTGGATAAAGACAGGAAGTAAATCAAGTGGCTCTTTTAGGCATTTCTTCCTGGATTGAGATTTTAACTTAATTATTAACACTCCAGGATGGTACTTCTTAAAAATAAAAACACTCCAAAAAAAGATTTAAAAACAAATAGCTTTCTTAAAGGGCAGCAGTTATTTATATGCAGTCAGAAAGATCTGAATTTAAGGAGGCTTTGAACAAATCACTTCTTCTCCTTAAACCTCAATTTCCTCATCTATAAAATAGAGCTAAATAAAAATGTATCACAGGGCTGCTGTAAGAGTTAAAAGAAAAACAAACTTACAAATAATTCCTCACAGTACCTAAGAGTAATGCTAAAAAAAAAAAAAAAAGTTGGCTATTATTATCAGTGGAGAAAGGTCAATGGGAAAAGACTGGACACTATTTAATCTATCGTGATGCTTAATTTTATTACTGAATTTTTTATTAGTATTACCAATAACCATTTACTGAGTATTAATATGTATTATACATTAGATAGTTTTGAAAGATACTTCAAGCTGTTCAAACTCTAGGTAAATGGATGAATGACACCCAAATACAAGGTTACATAAATAAAGCAATTGACTTAGATAATATGTAAACTAGAGCATATAAATATATACATGTAAAAAAAATTTTTACAGCGTGAGTAGCAAGAGGTTTTATAGATTATTTTACATAATTATTAATCGAATAAGGATTCTTTCAGAAAAGCAAGCTTTTCCAGAGATTAAAAAAAATAAACTTAAGGACCTAAAAGCAAGCGAGGGGCTGAGGGGAAGAAAACTGGGTCAGGAATTGATCTTCAGTGAATACTAATCCTTATTGAGTAGAGTAGGAAGAAGGTATGCTGGCAAAGATTTTTTTAAGAGGTCTGGAAAAATACAAGAATAATACCGCAACAGTCGGGACCAAAGAAAGACAGTGGCAGGCACAGACCAGGCAGGTCCAATAGAGTGATAGAGGCAGAAACAAAATTGTAAAGGGAATCAAGAAGCTGGAAATTAAAAGGAAACTGGAAGTAGTGGAAATCAACAATTCATTTGTGAACTTTACACATGAACAACTTGAAGCTGGGGTAATAGTTAGTGTGCTATAACCTTGAAAAGATTTCCTGAGGATGGAGGTGGTTTGACACACTTAAAAGCTACCAGGAAGAAGCACAGAGGAAGAAGTTAATTCTAGAGATTAGGAGGTTATGACTATAGAGGCAAGTATTCATAGAAAAGAGAAAAGGGATCTTTGAAACTAGGATTAGAGCTCAGGCTTGAAAAGTGGAAGCTCTTAAGCAGTCTTAAGCAGACACCTATCCCTAATTATCCAGCAGCATGTACTTTTTCTTCTCTGGATACCCTGACCTATGGAATGGGGGCTGCCAGGCAACATACTCCTCTTTCCTTAGCTCCAGCAGGAAGTCAATCTTCCAGAATGAACGATTACTTCTATCTAAAAGCAGAGTCTTGGATTGCCTGGGTGGCTCAGTCTGTTAAGCATCTTTTCATTTAGACTCAGGTCATGATCTCATAGTTCATGAGTTCAAGCCCATCAGGCTCTCTCTGATTATAGTGTAAAGCCTGTTTGGGATTCTCTCTCTCTCCCTCTCTCTCTGCCCGTTCCCTGCTCACACACTCTCTCACTCTTAAAATAAAGAAAAATTTTTTTAATTAAAAATAAAATAAATAAATAAATAAAAGCAGGGTCTTGGGGCACCTGGGTAGCTCAGTTGGTTGAGCATCTGACTCTTGATTTCGGTTCAGGTCACGATCCCACAGCACATGGGATTAAACTCCACACTGGGCTCAGCGCTGACAGTGCAGACTGCTTGAGATTCTCTCTCTCTCAAAATTAGTAAATAAGTATTTAAATAAATAAACACAATAAAAGCAGGGCCTTAAGGCACTCCTATTTATGAATTCCCTTGGCTACAAACCCAGAAAAGTTTCCAGTAGCACTGTGTCCTTCAGTAAACATTGTCGTCCTGTGTAACATCTGTTTACTACGTCAGACACCCTTTTCCATACATACAAATCCTTACAGTAATGTTTTAATTGCTGTTTTCTCTTAACTAACAATGTTATTTCTTCATGTGGCCAACTCCCTACCAAGTTCTCCCAGACTGTCTGTGTACACTGCTCACCCAGGAGATGCTGTCTTCAGGATGTCTCTAAGTCAGATTTTACTATCTTACTCTTCCTGATATTTCTCATACTCCCAATGCCTCCACCTTGTCAATACCTGGGCAAACATCATTTTATTAAGCAAAAAGGCCTGAGCCTCAATTCATAAGAAACGTTTTTCCTTCATGGACATGGTTGAAACTTTGCTAGACCTCAAAGTCAAATCCTGGTGTTTATTTTTCTGTTTCTGGGATATCCTTTAACAGCCCTTCAAAATTAACTAATGGGTGGGGGGTGCTGGGTGCCTGCACTGGGTAAGCGTTCAACTCTTGATCTCAGCTCAGGTTTTGATCTCAGGGTCATGAGTTCAAGCCCTGTATTGGACTCCAGGCTGGACATGGAGCCTACTTTAAAAAAAAATTTTTTTTAAGTAACTGATGATCCAAAATTTAAAAACACATATTACAAAAGTAACCACTGCTTCCTCATAAGAATCAACATATCGCCACTATATTTTATTTTAGTGTTTAATGAAATTAACCTGAAGGTCTGGAGACTATAGTATTATATATGTCTATCCCAAAACTACAGAATTGATCTCTCCCTCCTGTGTATCTTTACACAGTTTTGACAAAATGCCTACAACTCTTTGCACTTATTTGTTTACATGTTTCTGGTTCGCCTTGCCTAACTGTAACTTCTTTTTTTTTTCAAAAAGAATTTTATTATGTATTATATATTTTTGAGAGACAGAGTGTGAGCAAGGGAGGGTCAGAGAGAGAAGGAGACACAGAATCCAAAGCAGGCTCCAGGCTCTGAGCTGTCAGCACTGAGTCTAGCATGGGGCTTGAACTCACCAGCTAGGAGATCACGATCTGAGCTGAAGTCGGATACTTAACCAACTGAGCCAGCCAGATGCCCCTAACTATAACTTCTTAAGGACAGAATAAATGCAGACACAGGGCCTAATACTGCACATGACACATAAAAGACACCCAGTATGGGCAAAAAATAAAGGAATAGCTTACTTACATAGATAGGACCAAGAAAACTGTTTCTTATCCTTTATGTATTCCCCTAAGTAATGCTCAGTTGGATAGATATTTACTTTTTATAAATGCCTAAAATTGTTTTAAAATCCAACTGTTGGGGCGCCTGGGTGGCTCAGTCGGTTAAGCGTCCGACTTTCGCTTAGGTCATGATCTCGCGGTTCGTGGGTTCGAGCCCCGCGTCGGGCTCTGTGCTGACTGCCAGCTCAGAGCCTGGAGCCTGTTTCAGAGTCTGTGACTCCCTCCCTCTCTGACCCTCCCCTGCTCACGCTGTCTCTCTCTCTCTCCTAGAAATAAATAAAACATTAAAAAAAAAAAGAAATTAAAAAAAAAGTTTAAAAAAATAAAAAATAAAAAAAATAAAATCCAACTGTCATTTTAAAAAATATCAGAAATCTAGTCAACACATGGCCATCCTGACTCATTAAATTGTGACCCGAATTTCAATCAAAACAATTGTTGACCAGAGTCTACACAGAGACTGGTCTAACTGGGAGCTCCCAACAGCCCTGGAACCCCAGAGAACACAAGCTGTCTGTAAATCACAATGATTCTGACTTCTAACCAAGCTTTCAAACCAGTACCACGCCATTCTTAATCCTGTACCCAGTTCACTATAGTTTCCTGTAACATTTCCAAGTTATTACACGTTTTTCAATAACACTTCCCACCAAGTTTCAGATTGCATATATAAAAAGTCCAAATTATTGACTAGTGAATTAGTCTCAAGTGTTACTAACAGCATTTACTACTATAATTACCAAAACTGGGTAGGGGCTCTTGGGTGGCTCAGTTGGTTAACTGTCCAACTCTTGATTTTGGCTCCGGTCATGATCTCACGGTTTCTGAGTTCAAGCCCTACTTCAGGCTCTGTGCTAACAGTGCAGAACCTGCCTGTGTGAGTCTCTCTCTCTCTCTCTCTCTGCTCTTCCCCCCCGCCCCCCTCAAATAACTACAATAAACTTGAAAAAATTTTAAAAGTTAAACTCGGAGAGAATTCTAGTGTGACCAACAAAAATGACCAGTCAACCCCAATTTTTTTAAATGACGAGTTAGTACCAAAGCCCCTCCCCAAAAGGTGAATATTTCCCTATTTCCTACTATTTACAGGGATAAGTGTAGTTCCCATTACAAATCTACTGGGGCTAACAGCCAATATAAAATTTAACCTGTTTTTATTACCAACTCAAGTTGCCAAACAAGCTTGAGTGTGGGGCTTTGAACGACTCAGGAAAATATGACTGTTAACCAAAGAACCTACAGGCAGAGACTCAAATTAGTTTTGGTCCTTTCCTCACTGAGCTGAAATTTAACAAGTATAATGAATATACTAATAATTCTGTATGTCTCTCTTATTAACCTCTTATTGTATCACAATTTATTTAGAACTAAAGCAACTAAAGGAAACTAACCTGGGAATTTGAATTTTCATCATATACATCACCAAAGTGGAAACCACTATTTAAGAAACACACTGTGTGTATACGTGTGTGTGTGTGTGTGTGTATATACACATATCCTTGCTGAACCTTATATAAAGTAAATTAAAGATCTAGGTTCTGGATGATTCAGTATTAGCTCTAATTGCATATCAAGGTCATCCACAAACAACAGAATGGTACAAGAGGAAACAGCTGAAGAAAGGTAGGCAGTGTTCTTAAACCAACTTGCCTAATATACTGCAGCCACTAAGTAAGTTACTTCCCCTCTTGCTGCTGCCTCAGTTTATTTATGTAAAACTGACATGCAGACAAATGAGAAGGTTCCTGGCCCTTTTTTCTCTGGGGTTCAGTCCCCTACCTATACAGTTCCTTTCCTCGCCATCACTGTCCCTCTGTATACTCATACACTTAAAATATTTTTTAAACGTCCTGAAATGTGAAAACACGGTGACATCTATTTTCATGTTAGACATTAAAATGTAATAAATTTGGGCACTCTTACTGATTTAGCAGTCAAGTAAGTGGGGGAATGGGAGTCAGCCCACCCTTAAGAAAAAAAGCCACACTCCCTTTTGGGACTTAGGACTGCCCTCACAAGACAAAGAGGAAAGACTATCACAAACATAGGTTCACGATCCAATTCAAGGATTGACTTTGATCATCAAATTCCAAAACACAAGATAAATGCTGAAGGGGAGGACAAGAAGAGTTATGTGCCCCATTTATAGTAATAGTAAATATGTGATAAGTATTTGCCGAATTCTAGATTTAAATAACAGGCATTAATGGGTTCTTTTTCTGGTTACTATCACAGGAGACTTACCCCTGAATAGCAAGCACTTTTTAAGCAAAGCATGGGAAGGAAACAGTAAACCCAGCAAATGAACCAACCAAACCCATCCATTACTGTACAAGGGCAGCATGGAATAGAACAAGGAAATTCATTCAAAGCCATAGTGTAGAGACAGGCAGCAAAACAATATCTGCCCAATGTGACACAGCATACACTTAACCTTCTACAAAAATGACCTGACCTTGTTATAAGGCAAAGCAAATATTAACATTCCCTCTTCACGTGGGCACTTCACAGATGCAATGAATGCCTTTGCAAAGGATCCTTTGACTGAAATTTACTCCTTGATTGTTTAGGACAATGCCAAACACTTTGCAAAACTTGTGATTGTGGATAACAGTATCACAATAACTGATCCAACAAAAGCAGCAAAGAACATCTAAAATGTGATTTGCTTCGTAACCTAGTCCAATAATCATTTACTAAACTACCAAAAAGGACATGAAAATGTCAAATACCGCGTGGGGAAGACATTAAATTCTTAGATATTAAATCTTAGATTCTTAGATTACATCTTCACAACACAAATGGCAAGTATTGATTTAAAAACAAAAAAGTAAATGATTGAACAGATTCTTTTACAGAGCGAATGCTTCTTTAAAAAGTTACATAATTTCAGGGATGCCGCTAACTAAACATAAAAGATGTAGAACACTGCAACCGGATTTTTCAAAAAGCAGGATATAACTGGCAGTCCCCGACCAATTCCTAACCTCCAGCAATCAGCGTGCGTCTCGCATTTCTCAACCGCGCTGCTGATAACAGAGATTGCCGTTTTAATCACCTCCCAGCCTATCTCCCCGCACGCCCTCCCCCCTGCGCTGGGGCGCGCACAGGGCTCGAGAGCAAGCCCCGGGAACTCTCGCTGGCCGGCCTGTGTGAGCAAAGGGAAGGAAATGACACAGGCAGGAAAAAAAAGCAAATCAAGGAAAAGACACAACAGCAGCTGGGCCTGCACCAGCCTCCAGCCCGGGCCCCACACTGAGCTCCAGCTCCCCCGCCCTCGGGCTCGCGGTCCGGCTCGCTCGGGCCGGAGCGGGCTGCCTCGCCGTGCACGGGCCCTCGATCACGCCGCCGCCTCTTCGGGATGCGCCAGCCGCGCGGCCCGGAAGGAGGCTGCCCAGTGGGCTCCGCCGGCCCGTACCGCCCCGGCGGGCCAAGAAAAACCGAACCCCCGCCCGGGCCGCCGAGCCCCGAGCGGGGAGGGCGGACGCCGGCGGTCCACAGCCCGGGCCGAGCGGGGCTGTCCATGCCTGTCAGGCGGCGGCCCAGGGTCCTCCTCCCCTCAGCCCGGGGCGGGGCGACGCGAAGCAGCGCGGGCACAGGCCGGGGCGGTGGCGAACACTCACCCATGGTGGCGATGGCGGCGGCGGCGGCTCGGGCCCGAGTGTCACCTCCGCAGCCGGAGCTGCATGCCGGGGGCCCGGGCGGCGGGGACGGCAGCGGGCCTGGCTCCGCGCGGGGGGCGCGGGCTGCGCTCGGGGCCCCCGCCGCCTCCCCAGGCTCCGGCTCCGGCTCCGCCCGCGGCCGGGCGCTGTGGCATGGGCAGGGTGGCCCGCTACATCCCCGGCGCTCCTCGGCTCGGCCCAGCCCGGCCTCGGCGGCGCCGCTCGGCCCGCCCGCCCGCCAGTCTCTCAGTCCCGCAGTCGCTCCGTCCGGCCACCGTTCTCCACCTCAGGAACGCTCCGAAAAACAAACCGCTGGTCGCGCAGCTCGCCCCCTAGTCTGTCACTCACTGCAGCGCCTGCCAATCCCAGGTAGCCGCTGGACCTTAGTACCACCCCCACTCACTTCACCAGCCAATAAGAGGGAAGAAGTCGCTGCCCCAGTAGCCCCCCATCCCCGCTCTCTCCCCAACACCCTAACTCTCAGACGCCAGCTAATCATCAGCACCACACCATGAACCAATCCCGCCTACTCTCGCAGGATGCCAATGGGCGAAGCCAAGACCGTTTCCGAGGGCTGTCTACCGCCTGCCAATCATCGAAACAGCACCCGGTTCCCTCTCTGCTAGCCAATCACGTAGAGGGCTCTGAGCAGCCGCCTCTGCGCATCCTTGCCGTCTCACCCTCCCTCTCTCCCCGGGAGGTGTTGGTTGCTCCAATCACAGCTCGCGCGTGAGGCTCCGCCCACATTCCCACCTCCCGTCGGTCCCTAAAGGCTCTGCTGGCGCGCGGGCTGGCGGTGTTCCCCTCCGGCTACTTTGGGGCTGGAGTTTGGGAAAACGGCTGGAGGGGCCCTCGGCCTCCCGCCCTCCCAGCTCTCCGCGGTCCGGGCGGGCCCTGAAGCCAGCGTCCTGCCCCTCCCAGTGCCCACACGGGGCGCGTAATCAGCGGGGAAGGGTTCTGGCTCTGAGCGCTTCCCGGCGTGTGGCCACCTTTGCTGCCCGATCCCCCGACAAGTCCTCTAGTCCAGACGTTGAGCTTGTCCGGAGGCAGGGGCGGCCACACCGCTGCCCGCCTTTTCCGGGGTCTCCTACCTCCGGGGCCACACCCTCCTAGGGGCTGGGATAGTACTGGAATGTGGGTCCTCGGGAGCCTGGGAGTTCCGCCGCTGGCCAGGGCAGAAAGCAGTAAGTGGCGAAGTCAGAGAGGTTCTTTCGGATAAAAGCTTTTTTCTTTGGTTATGAAAGCAATACAAGCTCTTTAAATTAAAACTGAAAAAAAAAATTCCATCCCAGAGATAGTTTTATCTCTTTCCTACCAAGATATACAATGCGTGACAAAAATGGCTTCATATTGTTTTGTAGTATGCTTACATTTTATTAAACGTGTTTTCCCGTGCCACTGAAATATTGTTCGAAAACAATTGTACTGGCTGCATGATATTTCAAAATAGAGAATGACCGCAATTAATTTCCCCAACCCCCATTGTTCAACATTCTCTACACCCACATCTTCAGATGCCAAGTCCATCACAATTAATATGCGCTCCCTTCCTCTAGTCGGTGTTCCAGTGTAATATAAATCGGACGCCAGAGTAACCTTCCTCAGACGGCATTTCCAACCGTCTGCTAAGAACCTTTAGTGGTGGCTAATCTCTCAAGAATTCCCTTAAACTCCTCTCTTTCTGTACACTCCCTCCTCCCCATAATATTTAATCTGGTCCCTTGTCTAAGCAGGTTTTTTTGTTTGTTTTTCTCCAACAAGGTTTTAAGCCTGTCATTCTCCTTCTTGATTAGATCCCTACCTAGTTTATTGTTCTTCCTTAACTATAATAATCTCTTTTCTAGGAAAGGGAGAAAGAAAAGGGGAAAGAAAATTCATAATTATGTCATTTATTATATGCCAGGCACATCATCTCATTTTATTTTTCCAATAACTCTGAGGTAAGTAATACTATTGGCATTTAAATGATGAAAGAGAAGCTCAGAGAAGTTTAAGTACCATGTCTGGGTAGGAGCCAAATTCTCATCCAGTCTGTCTGCCACCCAAAGTTCATGTTCTTGTACCAGGCCAGGCCAGGCCAGTGTGTTTTAACTGCTTTTTCATGATCACCTCGCAAGGAGAAAATTTTGAATTACTTAATTAAATGTTAATTCTTTTTTTTAACATTTATTTATTTTTGACACAGAGAGAGACAGAGTATGAACAGGGAAGGGGCAGAGAGAGAGGGAGACACAGAATTCGAAGCAGGCTCCAGGTTCTGAGTTGTCAGCACAGAGCCTGACCTCAGGCTCAAACTATTAGATCATGACCTGAGCCGAAGTCAGACACCCAACTGACTAAGCCACCCAGGCACCCCTAATTAAATGTAAATTCTAATGAGAGAAATTAAGTTCTAAGGAATAAGATTTTGTCAGGTAGGGTTGAGCTTTGAAGGCCACATACCACTGTATTATCTAAGATTTTTTTTTTATCCCTTACGAATCATTTTTTTCCTCACTGGGGTATCACCCTGTTGAGAATGTATGTAATAAACCAGTGCTAGAGGTCCCAACCTCCCAGTATGAGGCTCATCATATCTGACCCTTAATTGTACTGACCTGTGAGATTAAAAAAAAAAAAAAAAAAAATTATGCAAGTGGAAATCTAGTGCTCAATTTACTGCCTGTATTGGAAGGTTTATTCAGCAGCTTCTCTTGGAAGGTCTAAAACACATCTCCAATTTCACAAGTTTCACACCAAACCCTTTATTCTTTCCCCTCCCCCCTAAATATCCCCCCTCTTCTGTTTTCCCAGTTGTTACAATACAAACCTAGAAGGAGTCTTCCTTGGTTTTACTCTTTCCCTAAAACTCCTACATCTAATCTTCTTCAGCGGATTTCTCACCTATTGTTTCAAAATGTATCTGAATGCAACCCACTTCTCACCACTACTGACCCGGTCCAAGCCGCCACCCTCTCTTGGATGACTGCCTTAGCCTCCTGTCACCTGTTTCCTCTGTGACCACCCAAAAAAATGATTCTCCACACAGCAGCCAGAGCAATCCTAGTAAAATATAATTCAGATCATGTCATTGCCCTGCTGTTAATGCTCCAATGGCTTCCCATCACGCTTCTAATAAAGCCCAAACTCTGTCATGTCTTTGTCTTTCACCCTAGTAGGAACTGGCCCTGCCATCTTCTTGCCTCATCTCTACTTCTCTCCCATGATTTCTCTTCTAGCCACACTGGCTTTCTTACCCTATTTTGAACCTAGCAAGCTCAGGACCTTTGCACTTGCCATTTGTCCTACCTGGAATGCTCTCCCCTCTGCCCTCAAGGTGTTCCCATGGCTAATTCCTAGATTTTATTCAGGTCTTCACTCAAACTGTCAACTCTTGAGTTTCTAACCCCCCCATCCAAAACAGCTTTTCTCATCTCCATCATTCTTTATCCCCATATTTTGCCTTTTCTTCCTAGTGTCTATGTCTAAAAGTATGTATTTACAGGGTGCTTGGGTGGCTCAGTGAGTTAAGCATCTGGCTCTTGGTTTCTGCTCAGATCACAATCTCACAGTTCATGGGATTGAGCCCCATGTCAGGCTCTGTGTCAACAGTGCAGAGCCTGCCTGGGATTCTCTCTCTCTCCCTCTCTCTGCCCCTCCCCAACTAGAGTGTGCAAGCACACTCTCTCTCAAATTTTTAAAAATTCCATATTTACTTATCTTTCCTCTAATTTCAATGAACATAAGCTGTGTAGGAGCAGAGATTTTGTCCTGCTCACTGGCCTATCACCAGCACTTAGAATACTGCCTTGCACGTGGTAGAGAGCTATAGTATAACCACATAAGTGTTTGGTTAAAAAGAACTTTCTGATTTTTCTTCTTTCTAGAATTGCTTTCTTTGAGGGCTTCATTTCCATTGTCTGTGCCTTAACCAGCCATCTGAAACATTCCCACGCTGAAGTTACCATACTTAACTTTCTTCCAACCTGCCAGGCATCATCCATTAGGCTCCCAAAGGCACCTCAAATTCTACAGGTCCAAACTAAGTTCATCATTTCCCTCAACAGTTCCGTATTTCCTCTGCCATCCTGTTTCCCAAGTTGCTTAAAAAGTTATAGTTTCCTATTACTCTTAGGATAAGGTGAATATATGAAAGTAGTTAAGAAGGCCCTTCAGGACCCAGGCTATGTTTCTCCAGCCACAAGCTTTTCCATTTCCCACCTCCACCAACCCCGTCATTCACATTCTGTGTTCTGGCCACACAGAACTACTGGCAATTTCTCTTGCCTCTTTTCCTCTGCATGCTGTTTACTTTTGAATCCTCTCCTCCTCCACTCGTGCCTCCACCCTCATTCTTTCAGGAAAGAACGAAGCCTGAACATCACTTCCTCCAGAAAGCCCTTCCAGACAGATACTCACAATTCTGGGTACCAGAGCACCTAGTACTTTCTTCATCAAAGCACCTGTCTCACTGTCTTCATTGCCTTTAAAGGAAGTAGGCATAGAGACAGAAGCTATCATTCAAATTGGTATGCCTAGCATCTTTCATAGTTCATTAAAAAAATTTTTTTTGAAGGAGTAAGTGAACCTCTAATGGGGATGTCAGCAGTTGAATGTAGGCTCCGTAAGTATGTTATTTATTTTTCTCTTTCTATATTGTTTCTCTCCTCACTCATTTTCCCCATGTGATGTCTCCCATCTGGGTCATGCCTTCTCAAGTCTGTTACCCTGGTTTTACATTGAGTAGATGCCCCCGGATAAGTACCTGAACTATACCTGACTTCAAGGATCACGACCTGCCCCTAGCGCTCAGGGCCTCAGGCAGCCCTATCATATACAAGCTGTATTACTACTTTCCTTTTTTCTTTCAAGAGCATAGAGACACTTGAACATAAGATAGGAAACATTAAACGAATGAATTCTCTTCAGGATAGTTCAATGAATTTGGTATAAAAAAAAGAAAAAAATACCACCTAATTTTATGAAAATTATTTTAATTCGTAGGTAAAGTAGAATATATTCAGGTCACCAGTTCAAGCAGTTTATTGGCATTGTTAAGGACTGATGTATACCTTATAGAAGATTTTTACAATCGTGATATTTTATTATTGACATTAACTTCTAGAGAAAAACTGCTTTTACATTTTGAAATTCAATTTCTATAAATTTGTCCAAAGGAACACTCTGCAAATGAGCAAAACTAATGTTGATTGCAACATCCAGGATATATTGTGAAGTGGAAAAATAAAAAAAACCAGTTTAAGGACTGAAATTTGGAGGGTGATCACATTTCAGTTTTAAAAAAATGTTCATTCATAATTAGTGTGGGGGAGGAGGCCAATGTTTATTGAGCACTTACTATTGCCAGGCACTGTCTTAAGTGCTTAACATAACTGACTTCTCAAAACAGCCCTAAGAGATAGATACTATTATCCACATTTTACACATGAAGAAACAGGTGCAAAGAGGTTAAGTTCTTGTTCAAGGTTGCTGACAACAGGAAGAGTTAAAATTTGTTCCCCAGCAGATCGGTTCCAATGAGTAGAATACAGAGTAGATTGTTAATGGTGGTCGTATCTTACAAGGAAGGGGTAGGGAAGTCCCCCATTTGAGGTTCACTTACTCATTTAAGACACCAATGTTATCTTTTCGGCCTAGTCAAAAGAAAGATAAAAAGAGGAAAAAGTAAAAACTACTATCCTGTTCAGTATCTGGGGATTGCACCAGCAGAGAAAGTGATTTCAGTCACGAGTAACATAGTATCTATCATAATGCTCTCTTTTGCCAGATCTACTGGCTCATTTATTTCCTCTTCAGGATGTCTCCAGAGGAGTCCAGGGAACTTGTAAAAGTCTAAAAGTTGGGTTTTTTTCCAGTGTGCATTTATACTGACTGTTGTGCTGTAAGTTTCAGAGAGGAAAAAAAAGAAAAAAAGTAACTCATGGTTGAATTTCTATTGTTGGCTGGAGGCAGAGCCTTCATGGTTCCCATTTGATTCAGCTGGGGCCTCTGGCACAGCGATGGCGGCTACGTACCACACGAACACTTCTTTTAAGAGACAAGGCTATGGACAGAACCTGTCACCAATACTTCCATCCCACTGAAAGGTCACTTGAAAGTGAGCCTAAGCCAGCTGCAAGGCATTGAATGATTTTGTGTTGCTAAGACAATGACTAAAGATAAGGCAAAGGCAAGCCAGGACCAGACCTCATTCTTTTGACTTTAAGGTATGCCTGACTCCTTGCCTCTCACATGCAGTCTCCCTATTTGGACAATAATGTGATGAGTTTTCTCTTGAAAAAAATGTTTCCCCTGGTAAAATATATGATAATAGAAAATAAAACTCAGTGATAACATCACCACCCAGAGATAACCAGTTTTGAGATTTCGATACATTTCCTTCTTTTTTTTTTAAGTTCATATATAGAAATGACTATATTTTAAAATTTGGAACAGACTATACAGCTTTTTATATCTTTGTTTTCCGCTTTATTTTGTAAACATTTTCTCTGACATAAAATATTCTCTGAAAAATAATTTTTACTGGCAGAATAACTCATCTTCTCTGCTTAAGTATTCAGCTAAATAGTTATTTAACTACTTAACCTAAGTAGCTAAGGGGCTCTAGCTGACTTAGAGGCAGAACCGGTCCAAATAAGGTTTCATTTCTGCCTCTTCCAGATTAACCATAGGAAAGGCTGCGGGAGCGCCACCAGGGGTCAGTGCAGAGCCATCTAGTATGCCTTGCTGGAAGAAAATTGGTTACACAAAAATCTTTATTAACAAATCCTACCTATTAAATTAGAGGTAGTTCACATGAGTAGCCACGTTCCCATCCAGAGAAGGCTTTCCTGGTGCAGATTTTTCATATCAGAAATTACCACATTCTTCCAAATTACATTATAATTATATTCAACATTTACAAAACAGAGCTATTTTATAAACCGAGGTTTATCAACAGAAGATGTAGTATCCAGATCTATTCTCACCTGCTTGGTGTGAGACCACTTGTGCATACTTGGCCTGATTATTTTAAAGGTTTACTGTGGAAAAATAAATAACATGGAAGTATCTTATAAATTACAAAGCAGCACTTCAACTTCAAATTGCACTATTTTAATGATGTGCTCATCAGCTATTTGGATCTCCTATAAAAACAAAAGAATCCCAAGTAGTATCATGATTACGAAATGAGGTATAAGACCATATGCTTTGGCATTTTCATGGATTATTTTATTGCCCCCCCACCCCCCCACCCCCAGCCTTTGCTCTCCAACTGAAGTCATGATGGAATCTTTTCCTAGAAGGGGGAAGTTATTCATGGCCAATTTGGGTTTTTCTTCTTTTCCTCATTTGCCTGAGGCTCTTTCAGAAAAATTACTCTGAGCTCAGAACTCACTTAAAAAACTTATGAATAGATGAATAACAGGGATCAAAAAGCTACTCCAGGCCTGACGTGCTTGATGGGCTCCAGCACAGGTGATTGGCACTCCTGGTCTCTCTGAACCCAAAAGTGACTCTGAAGAGCAAAAGGTACCAAGGGCCTCATTTCCCAGCTGGCAGGCTCTGACTTGGTCCTTCACCCTTCTTTCTATTCTCATGTCCTCTCCAGTTCCCAGTGCCCCATCACTTAGAGGCAAGGATGAAAAGGAGCCAGGGCGGGTGCGAGCAACTTTCAAAACAAGCCATGGCATAGTCTTTCCTGACAGCATCCAATCTGCTGACAGGTCCATTCTGACCGATTTCAGGACACATGGGGGGCTGAGCAAAGCAGGGCCTAGGAGTCCCTTATCATTGGCACTTATGTTTCCTAGTAGGTTAGAACCTTAAGCTCTCTGGAAGAAGCAGGGGACAGAGGCCACCCAAAGAGAACAAGGCTGCATGCACAGTGGCTCATACTGCCCTAGGACAGCTCCAGCAGACAGCAGTCCTGTGTCTGACCTCTCAGGTCCTATGCTTTAGAGCAGGATCTAACTCAGGGCACCAAATGAACAGCTTGTGCTCCTGGTAAGTACAGTTCCTGGTACATAGGTGTTTGAGAAATACTATTTGCATGATCAATGAGCATAAGTTAGGCCATTAAACTAGCATTAGAGCACAAAGTAGTGCCTGGAGAGAGCTATATTTCTCTGGTTAAAAAAAAAAAAGTCCTGGAGTAGTGAAACTAAACCTATAGAGGTCAAAGAAGTCAAGAGGGTGTTGTCCAACAGCTGGACAAAAACCCAGGAAAACAGAAGACCCACACAACAGCAGTTGTTACTGAAGAGTAGTTTCTGGGGCACATGGGTGGCTCAGTTGATTGAACATCTGGCTCTTGATTTCAGCTCAGGTCATAGACCCAGGGTTGTGGGATTGAGCTCTGCATCAGGCTCCATGCTTAATATGGAGCCTGCTTGAGATTCTCTGTTTCTCCCTCTGCCCCTCTACCTTGCTGAGGCATTCTCCCTTATCTTTTTTTTTTTTTTAATTTTTTTTTAAATATTTTTTTTATTTATTGCTAGGAGAGAGAGAGAGACAGCGTGAGCAGGGGAGGGTCGTCAGAAAGAGAGGGAGACACAGACTCCGAAACAGGCTCCAGGCTCTGAGCTGGCAGTCAGCACAGAGCCCGACGCGGGGCTCGAACCCACGAACCGCGAGATCATGACCTAAGCGAAAGTCAAAAGTCGGACGCTTAACCAACTAAGCCACCCAGGCGCCCCTCCCTTATCTCTTTAAAAAAAAAAAAAAGTAGTTTCTAGTACATGGGCCCTCAGGGCACCTGTCCTTCCCACAAGAGCCAATTTCCTGAGATCAGAGTCTGAAGAGCTGGCTGGCTCCAGCCTGCGTCCAGGACTATGTGACACCAGCAGAACTGACAGAGACCCCACGGAGATGCAGCGATTCCCTTGGCCACAAAGGGCTGCAGCTCTTGGTTTTGTGCCTCCTAAGCTGCTAGGCCTCCAATCTGCTTCAGTTTCAGAGTACGCTGTGGAAGCCCGTGCTCCAGAATGGCTGCCAGTCACCTAGGAAGGACCCCGGGGGCACACACAGCCTGGTTACTCAATGTTGTCATAGACCTGGATCACATCCTCGTGGTTGCCAAGAGCCTGGATGAGAAGGGCAGCCTGCTCCAGGTCGGGGTCAGCGAGCTGCACCTTTGTGTTGGGGATGAATTCTAGCGAACAGGACACAGAACACAAGCCCAGCGAGTCCAGCTTCTTCCTCACTTGATGCAGTGAAGAGGCATCACAAATAAACTAGGGACAAAGGAAAGTCAGGTGAGGAGTCGGAGGTAACAGGATAAAACCAGTCAGAACTCTGCAAAACCTGAATGGAACTACTATAATGAATCACCAGATTTAAGTTCTTTACTAGCAGAGATATAGTTTTCAGAGTTCTGACTCCTTCTCATAGTCTTCAGTAAACACTTTCCTATATTCACTTAATAAATGCTTGTGCAGTGTGTGAACTCTTTATGTCACTTGTACCCCAGGGCACAAGAAAGAAGAAACAGAGAGGGGCATGCCTAAACTGCATCTCTTAGGACCCTCTCAGAAGTCCACCACACACTAAGTCTTCATACTCACTTTAAAAATGTTATTTTCCTCTTCGTCTTCAGTTTCCTTGACATCTTCAGCTCCTGCTTCAATTGCCATCTCCAGGGCACGCTCTAGGTTCACAGCTTTCTTTTCTCTGTCCTCCACTCCAACCACGATCACCCCCTTTTTGTCAAAGGAGTGGCGAGCTCCATCAGCCATCATTCCTCTAAAAGGAAAGGAAACGTGCCAGACTGAATGCCTTTAGATTCAGCTTCCAGATAGCACTGCATTCCGATACTCTATTTCCCATGCAACCTTCGGAGTATAGACATAAGTACTTCTGAAGGAGAAGATGCAGAGATGACCTGGCAAGGGAATAATCCAAACATATCCCCGTTTCCTACTTTCTGCCCTGACTGGAGTTTAGTGGATGCAAAGACTTTGCTCGTCATTTAAGATTCCAGTCTCAGTGGTATATTTTAAGACCTGGACGTTATATGACTACATATGGGAAAAATAGGACAAAGAGCCCCTTCTACATCTAATGAATGAGTCTCTTGGATCCTGCCTAGTAGAGAATGAATCAAGGGAGAAGAAATGATTCCATTTGGATTCTGCTAAGGATGAAGTGTGCTTAAAACTTGAAACGCCACCAGGAACAACAGTACTTTCCTTGCAAAGAACTGGAACTTCAAGGCTTCATAGCCTTCCACTTTCCCCAGACATATACCCACCCGTTCTTGTTCAGGATATGTCTGATGTCTGAATGGCACTTGGAGCCACTGCTGGATATCGCCTCAATGAGCAGCAAAGAGCCACCAGGGCCTCGGCCCTCATACAGCAAATAAACATCCTTGGTTTTCTGCAATAAACAACATGAGCACATCTTCCTGTTTCCCAATCCCCTCCTGCATCCCAGCCCAGAGCACAGATACCAACCCCATCGGAGGGGTTCTCTCGAGTAGAGCTTATGCTCTCAAGTCTTTATTGTTGTCCCCTACCTCTGAGAGGTGGCCCTTGGAACCAACTTTTGTGGTAACTGCAAGTATGACCCGTTACTGGGAAGGGTGTCTGTTTCTCTGGTCCCTGAACAATCAGTCAGCCACCTCCCAGTTTCATTTCCTCCCTGTCCCAGCTGAATCCCACATCTAACACACACATCCCCCCCCCCCCCACACTCCCACCAAGACTCATCCCCCTATGCCCACCCTGCATGAAACCCACCTGTGAAGTCTCCCTGGGGTGCTGAGTACTGCTTCAGGAAATAGCACACCTGGGCCCTATCATAAGAACCACTAAACTAGCAGGGTCACAACAATCAAACAATTCATCAAAAGTCTAATGATCAATCTCATCGGGACCTCCCATGCCACCTCCACTTATCCCTTGCCTGTGCATTCAACTTTCACGACTCTCTCCAAGCACCCTGCCCTGCTGCCTTTCCAGGAACTCCCAAATGACAATTTCTTCCTCTTCTTTCACAAAGGAACTAAAAGACCACCAGGTGGAGGGAAATGCTCTACTTCCACCTTACCTGCACCACAGCCCACATGAAGGCACTGTGTATAAATGGTTAGAGAACAGGCTCTAGAGTCTGTCAGTTTCAAGTCTGTCATTTTCTGTGTGACTTGGTCACCTAACCTTTCTGTTTCCCAGGTTCCACTTAAGGTTGTTTTGAGGATTCAAGAGATAATGCATACAAAGTTCTTATCAAAGTGGTCTAGAGTAAACGCTCAATCATTATTGGCTCTTAAGATGATTATTACTTCCTCAAATCCTTCCTACTTGTCCCAGAGGAAGAGGTGTCCTCTCACCTGGGCTCAAAGACAATTCCTATAACCGAGCTCTACATCCCTGCCCCTCCCACCATCACTATTGCCCCGTCTCTCTTTCTACTGGCTCATCTCCTTTAGGGCATAAATATCTGAAAAACAAACCTTTTCTCAATCTAACATTCCCCACACTGTGCCCCTTCTTTCTACCTCATCTCCTCACAATTCGGCTAAACAGTCCTAGGCCCCTAGGTCATATGCTTCTGTACACTGTCTATTCATCCTATTCCTGATTATGCTCCCACAACCATTGTCCAAGGACACAGAGCCGCTAGAAGGCTCTGTATGAAGGGTATCAACCACAATGCTACCCTTCTCTCTGATAATTTAAGGAGTGTTTGGTGGCCTTCCAGACATGGGCCCTGGAGAGTCTGTGATCAATAAGAAAATGTCAAAGTGAGGACACACCCCCATTTTCAGCGATGCCTCAATCGTTGACTTGGGCATGTGCTTGCTGCGACACACCTCTAAGATGTTGGCCAGACTGCTGTTCAGCTCAGGGTTGGGGCCTCCTTCTGAGATAGAGAGAAAAGAGTGAGTGAAAACACTGCATTATAGCCAGGGAGAAAGGGATTTCTACCACTCTACCCACCTCCAGCCAAAAGAGCAGCAAGTTACCACTTAGCTCTCAGTTAATTTAGAACAATTCAGTGTTTGAATGGAATATGGAGAAGTATTTTAGAAAAGAAGTTTCTAATTTACTATTTAAGGATGAGTATCTTTCTGCTAGGTTTTAGCGAACACCACTTTGCATCAGATGAAGAGGTAAGAAATGAAAACGGCACCAACATTTCCTGGACTTATTTAATACCCCTTGCGCTGATTCTACTATTTTGTGTGTAATTATTGAAACACTCATATGACAGAATATAATCATATGAGTGAACATAACAAACATTCAATACTTTTATCTAACTCAGCTATCAAGATTCTAGAAGAAAAGGAAGCAAAGAGAAGTATCAGGCATTGAGTTCCAGGGATAAATTTATATTTACTGAGTGCCCCATTATGTGCCAGAAACGACCTCAAGGTGGGCACTATCCTTATTTCACATTAGAAAACTGAAACTCAGCAAAGTTAAGCCATTTGCTCAAAGTCATACAGTTAGTAAGTGACAGAAACCAAGTCTTCTGGACTCTAAAGGCCATGATTTTTACAGGACTTGTTCTCCACTCCTACAGGTTATCTGACACTAAATACAAAAACAAACAAACAAAAAGCCTTTTTACGGTGGCTACACAATTGAAAAAGGCATGGTTGCAAACTTACCTTCCAAGAAAATGTGTCTTAGCTTACCCTAACAAAGCAAACCGAGCCTGAGCAAGAAACACCTTTACTCAATGCCCCTGCCACACAACCTATGTGCTACTGGAGGGGACTAGAGGGCTTGATTTGTCTCTTGTGACAGACACACATGTGACCTTACTCCTAGGGTCTGTTTCTAAGAAGTACCCAGCTACACACTAGAATGAAGTCACTTTTACCATTATCATCCTAAGAGCAACATCCTAATGCGCAGAGAGGACAGCAGCGGGTGACCGTCAGCGTCTTACCTTTAACCGCCAGGCGGATGCTCAAACAGAGCTTGGAGAAGATGCGACTCCTTTCGGCGTCCTTGGGACCCTTGATATGCCGGACTTTGGACCACTTGTTGTGCCCGGCGGGGACCGCCGCGCTGAGGTGTAGCGTCCTTCCTGGAGCGGGGTTACAGCCCGCGGGCTCAGGCTGGGAGGCCGCGAGGGTGGACAGAAGAGCCGCCTGGACATCCGGGCCTCGCGCCCACAAGCACCGGGCAGGGACTCTGCTTAGGCTGACAGCGGCCCAAGACGCCATCGGCTCCGACCCTGGGCCAAGGTCAGCAAGAGTAGCCAAAGAGCAGTGGCCAAGGTCAGGCCGTGGTGTCCGCCAGAGAAATACGCAGGTCCCGAGCGTGCGACCACCTCCGCTCCACACCGGAGACCCAAGTGCTCAGGCCATGCCGGGGAAGGAGGGACGCCAAGCACCCAATACCATCCCCGCGGAAGCCAGGAGTGAGCGCCCTGGATAACGTAGCACACTTCCCTTCCCCGGTCCGTTCCAGAAACGCGCCCCCATCGCCCGCAAAATCCGTTCCGCCTCGCGGTACTCGCTGGTTTCTCGGACCTGTGCAGAGCTGGAGCGAAGAGGGGCGGCTTTATTTATTTATTTTTTTTAAGCTGTAACTAATAGTTCACTTAGGAATTTATTACTATTGTTGTTTATCATCCAGGCTACTTTGTGATGGGCTCGGCACTCTCCTCGTACTTTGCCATATTAGAAACATCAGATTACTCCTAGTGCTTCTCCCGGTTCCTGTGTGCAGCACAAAACTGTCTCTGTTGGTCTTTGTTCCACTTCACTTCACCTGGCTAACTTTTGTTTTTTCCTTCAAGATTCAGCTCAGGCATCATTTTCCACCAAAGGAAAACATCTCCAGATTCTCCTGTCGGGTTCAGATGCCCTACTTTGTGCTCACATAACTCTTCATACACATCTGTACCTTAGCACTTAACTTTTTAATATAAACATGTTTATGGCTCTGCCACAGTATTAAATTCTTTGAGAGCAGATTGGTATACCTGTGTCTGGCACAGTTCTTGGGGGTGTTTTGGTTTGTTTTGTTCTTAATAACAGCTTTATGGACATAATTCATATGTCACACAAGTCACCAATTTAAAGTGTATAATGGTTTTTAGTATAGGTGTTCACAGATTTGTGTTGCCATCACAATTTTACATTTTAGTCACCCCAAAAAGAAACCCTCTACCCATTAGTCATTCCCCATTTCCCCCCAATTCCCTCAGTGCTGGGAAACCACCAATTTACTTCTGCCTCTATGGGTTTGCCTATTCTGGACATCTCATATGAATAGAATCATACACTATGTGGTCCTTTGTGACTGCCTTCTTTCACTTAGCATAATGTTTTTAGGGTTCATCCATGTAGCATGTATTAGCATTTCATCCCTTTTAACTGCCAAATAATATTCCATTGTATGGATATACCAATTTTATTTACCCATTCATCAGTTGATGGACATTTGGGTTGTTTCCACCTTTTGACTATTATGAATAATATTGTCGTGAACATTCATGTTCAAGTTTTTGTATAGACGTGTTTTTGTTTCTCTGGGGTATATAACAAAGAGTGGAACTGGTGGGTTGTATAGTAGCTCTGTTTACTGTAAGAGGAACTACCACACTGTTTTCCAAAAACAGTTGCATTGTTTTACATTCCCACCAGCAATGTATGAGGTTTCCACTTTTCTCCACATCCTTGCCAAAACTTATGATCTCTTTTTGACTATAGCTGTTGCCATCCTAGTGGGTGTGAAGTGGTTTCTCATCATGGTTTTGATTTGTACTTCCCTAATGACTAATGATGTCAAACATCTTTTCATGTGCTTACTAGCAATTCATATATAGTATTACTTTTTATAATTTAAAAACGTAGTTTAATATGTTACTTTGGATAGCAAAAAAAAAAAAATTAAGGGTATTTAATAACTGCAAATAAACATTAAGGCCAAAGTAAAGTTTGAGATTGCCCTTGTCCAATCATCCTAAGTCTACCAGGGCAAATCTGGTAGTTCAACAAAGTCAGGCTATGGACTCACTGTAACAAGGAAAACTGCACACCAGAGGAATGGTGGGGCATCTCACCAAACTAAGGAAAAGATAATTATAATAGAATTATAGGGAAAGGTGGAGGTTAGGTGAAATTTCAATGAAATAGAGTTTGATAGGCTCAAAGGAACACAGAGCTGTATGAAAAGTGGGTCAACATCAGCTCTGGACTGCAAAGCAGACGGAGTTCAGTTTCTGTGGAAACTACAAAGTTAAGTGGGGAATGCTGTATTCAAAACCCCCTGCTCTGAAGTTCTATACCTGGGTTGGAAATCAAGGCTGCTTCTCTGTCAGAGTGATTTGGATTCTCCAAGCAAGACTGTAGGTCTTCATTCTCACGGATATCATTTCAAACAGAAACTTTCTGACAGTCTATGATTTTAGAGAACAAAGTTTTTCAGTGAATTAAAAAAAAAAAGGTAAGTAAGTAGTCACTCAGAGAAGGGAACTGTTATGATATAAATGTGCTTGGGAGAAATATTGTTTCTTGTTAACATTGCAGCTGGTTTTAGCTGTGTCTCTTTACCTGTGATGAACAGCAGGGCAGTTTTACTTTCTCAGTCTGAGCTAATACCTAACTGTTCTCAAGATAAATTCACAGATGACTGAACCATCTCTAGAGCCTGGTTTTCAGGATCACTGAAATCATTAACAATGAGCCTTGGTTGCTAATTTAATGGCATGGCAGATATATAATATTTATCTGCCACTTCTATTTCCTCTCCCGAGGCACACAAGAAGATGAACCTTCTTGACCTCCCTTGGAATCATGTGACTACATCTGGCAGATCTGGGCAGAAGTGAGTTAAGCCACTTCCAGACCCTGTCCTGAAAAACAGATCTCTTCCTCCCAAGCAACCTTGGAGGCCACATATTCTGGATCATCTAGCTGTCCAACCTCCAAAGAACTTCATGTAAGCAAAAAGCAAAACTTTGTTGTGTTCAGTCTTTGAGACTTGGGGGTTTGTTACTGCAGCTTAGCCCAGGCTATCAAGGTGAATAATGCCAGTACTGACTCTCCCAATGATCCCCTTAAAAACCAAAGAGCAGAAATCTCACATTTCCCATAAAATACACATCACACCATACAGCACAGTTCTAACAGAGCCAGAGGTGCTCATTTTGCCACAGAGTCTTAACTCTTAGGGGCGCCTGGGCGGCTCAGTCGGTTAAGCGTCCGACTTCGGCTCAGGTCATGATCTTGTGGTCTGTGGGTTTGAGGCCCGCATCAGGCTCTGTGCTGACAGCTCAGAGCCTGGAGCCTGCTTCAGATTCTGTGTCTCCCTCTTTCTCTGCCCCTCCCCAGCTCATGCTCTGTCTCTCTCTGTCTCAAAAATAAGTAAATGTTAAAAAAAAAGATTAAAAAAAAAAAACAAAAAACCTCTTAGAGTACACACTTCTTTCCCAGGCTCACTGCCATCCCCAGTTCAATGCTTCCAACACAATGGCAGTTACTGGCCAAATACTGGCTCATGGAATCAATCACAATTTGTCCTTCTTCTTTTCCCACGAAACGGTTAAACATGAGAACAGAATGAAAATAAAAACAAACAGAAGGAGTGTTCATCCAGGACTTGGAGCATTTAATAGCAGTGGAAATAGGCACCCTCCCTCCTACCAAATTGGGATGTAGGCGTTTCCATAGGGTCACGGAAACCCTAGTTAGCCAACAAAACTTGGTGTCCAAACCCCCAGAGCCTGGGAGTTAGCATTTGTCATCTTTCAAAGCCAGTAGTTTACTGAATCCTTATTACCCTGTCTTTTAAATCTCCTTAGTTATGCCCTGTCCTCTCCTTCCTGCTGTTCCTGCTTTAGTTCAGGCTTTAACTTTTTCTCATCTTATTATAATAGGTAAACTGACTCCGTTTCACCTCCTACTTGCATTTTTTTCATCGCCTCCTAAATGCATTTCTGAGCATGACTTCCTTTTATGTAAAATTTCCAAAGTCCCAAACGGGAGTTAAGGTCTAAACTTTCTGCAAAGCACAAAAGATTCTGCCTGATCTGGCTCCTGCTTATCTCTCTAGCCTAATTTCCTGCCATTACCCATACAAAACCCCATATCAACTTCTATTTCTCTGAATATGGCCATATTATTTCTTGCCTCTATAGAGTTGTATGTGGATATTTTCTCTGCCTTAAACGTCTTTCCCTCTTCCTGGAGAACTCCTCTTCAGCCTTCAAAACCCAGTTCAAACATCCCTCGTCTTGTAAAGTCTTCCCTGACCTCCTCTGGTACCTAACCAAACACAGGTGATCACCTCCTCCTCAGGAGGCAACCTTTAAGCCTAAACATACCCATTATTTCACAACACTGCCAGTAATTGTTTATGTGGATGTCTCCTCTGGGAGACTGCAAGCAATTTCAGGGCCATGGCCCCTGGCATAGAGTAGATGCTGTGTTTGGTTAAAGGGGAGGAGCCAGGCTGACAGATAGTGTGATGGGTTGGGCTGGACTCTAATCCCCCAGCCGGTGTCTCTGGAACATGACCACAGTGGGAGAATGGGAAGAACTGAATTCATCACAAGAAGAAATTCAATCTATACATGTTCAAGTTTTATTACAAAGTATGATGGGCAGAAAATACGGTACTTCTTATACAGGAGGCTGAAACAGAATGAAAGGGTGAAAATTAGGTTTAATATACTCAGGAAGCAAGAAATAAAGTCATAGATGTAACACTCCACTTTCAGGTGCCTCTGAAGTAGCCTTCAATGGAGATTTACCATTGTGGTTTCACAGCACAGTGTTAACATTTTATTACAAGCCCTGTGTACAATCAATCCTGTGATAATAATATTTTAAAAAGAAAATGGTGATAGTACAGCTCTGCAAGGGAACCGCTTCCTCTCCACCTGACCAGGGGATGTCACAAAACCTATAGTATAGAGGAAAAGTTTAAATATGTAACAAGAAATTAAGTTCAGACATACTAGGCTAAAGGGGACAGAAATTGATTGGCTAGAGCTTAACATTTCAGAGAACAAGAAATCTCCATTTTCTACAAAGAGGTTTGTACAATCATGCTACAAGTTCACACTCGGGGGAGGAGGGGAGGAAAAGTTAATGACAGGGACATAAAATACACAGGAACCAAAGCAAGTGATTCATACTTAACTCAAGCAAGTCTAAGCTTTAGGTCAACAAGTTTTGTCACACACTGTATTACCACAGCCAACCCCAGGTGAGAATATTTCTCTTAAATAGCAGACACCACAAGTCCATATTCACTGGGTTGTCCTAAAGGTGAGTCCTTGTGAGTTTTCCAGCTGTTATACAGACTGCCAACATCTTTCTTCTTGAGTTCATACTTTCACTAGCTTATGTGTTTCTGGTTTGACACACCAGCCCAAGCCTCTTTGGGAAGGC